AAGTCTTCCATCTCTTCCTCAACACAAGCACACATCTGCAATCAAGCAGTAGACAAGAAATGGATTCTTTGGAGTCGCTGCATTTAAGAGTCAAAATGAGAATGATCCTAGCAGTAGCTTAAGCAAACACACATCCTTCACCCTCAGTATTGAGAATGTAGCAAAAGCAGAAGGTAAGCTAGATAGAATATTTTGCTGAGGTGTTTTACCTGCCAGAAGCCAGCACCTCTGGAAAGCAGGGGCAACCTAAGCCTGTTACTCCTTAAAATACATCCACCAGCTCTTGTTTTTTTAATATTAGAAGAACAATTAAAAAAATATTCTACCTCGTTAAGGTGTATGCCATACAACCATCACTAATTACCTATGCGATATTCACGTAACATCTCCTATTACAAAATACACAGTCACCAAGCTGACACTAGTCCCAGAGATAAATGCAATGACGTATATGCAATTTGTATTTTGTATATGGATTTGTAAGTCCTCAAGACAATATTTTCCACACTGGAAGCATACAAAAACCAGAATTTTGTACCTGGAGGTTACTTGCATTTTTGAATCTTACAGATTTCTGTGGACTATTCCTAAACAAAGAGTTCTTTAAAAACATGAAGAGGAGTAAAATCTCCAGAAAGGTTCACAGTCTGACTGAATACCTAGTGATTCCTGAGAAAGGGAAAAGAACTAAAGGCAACTGGCAGATTCTGTCAGATACTTCTCCCACTTTTCTCATGTCTTATGCTCTACGAGGGACCGATGTCAGGACGTATCTACAAAGAGCTTGGAGTAGAAACATGTAAGTCTGAAACAAATAAATGGTACCTGTAGCTGACAAACAAACAAAACCAAACTGAGTAACTGTTCTCATATTTAGCTAATACAGTGGATTTTTGATAGTTTATCTACTACCCATCCAAAATTAAGTTAGTCTAGATACAGTTTCTGGAAGTCCAATTAGTTAATTTCAGAGACAGATTTCCTCCTATATAACTGTATATTAAAAGCCAGTTTAAAATTTAAAAGAATTGAAGCTGTATCGATTCCACTTCTTACAGGGTTATACAACTTGAATATAAAACAGGTTTTGTAGTCCAGTCAGCTTTACAGTTAAGAAATTAACAAAGGACACTAATAACTGGAGCTGCACCACTAGGTCAGAAAGGCTTCACAGCAGTAGAAGAGAAGGATGACATTGTATGGATTCTCTTTTGCTCATAGGACTTATTCACCATATGTTATTTGATTATTCTTTAAAGGCTTTTACTTGGACAAGATTGCCCAGTTACTTTTTCTTAAGGCAGTGTTTATTTGCTGTAAAGTAAATTGTCGCTGGACGCTGATCAGAATGAAAGCCAGAAAACAAGTAGATTTCTCTCTTGATTTCCCCACTCCTAATGCTCAGTGCAAGACTGTTTCCAGCAAGTTGCAAGCTCTACAGAGACCGTTCATGTATAGGTGACAACTGCATGGTAGTAGTGACCTACAGATTTTTATCTTAGTGTGTTTTGATTGTGTTTGTACGATTGCATAGGCATCTTCAATACTTTTTTCTCAGAGAACGTCAAAAAGCAGGGTAGTTTTTACAAAAAGGCCAAGTTAAAAAGGTAACAGGCAATATATAGCTCCTTCTTAAATCATCACCAAATCTTAGGAACATAAGCATCACTGGGCAACTAAATGCAATCTGTAGCTGTATAAACCAAGCTTTAGTGAAGAATTAGGGATGCATTTTCATGACTTGCAAATACAGACAAAGCTTTTCTATTTTTAAATATGTGCATGAGCAGAACTTCACATTTCAAGTGTGTCTCCCAATATAAGTGTATCAGTAACAGTCTAATCTTCTTTGCATTTATAAAGAAAATATTGTAGTGAGACTATACTTGTTCAGAGACTCTCCTCCAGATGCCCCTGGCTGCTCATCTGTTTCTGCAGTTTCTTCCATAGAAGCAGTCTGTTCCATCCCACTAAAACAGTAAACAAAAAAACCCAAACACATTAGAAAAAAAACCTTGCTGATCAGTACGTCACTTCTTCCCAAGAATTCCTTGGGACAGAAAAAGGGAAAAAAGGAAAAAAAAAAAAAAAAAAAAAAGATGAAAACTCCTCTAGAAACATAAGCAGAAACTAGACCTACTAATTGACTAGTTAGGCAACCAACAATAGAAGCATGAGAAAAATCCGACTTCTATGTACTATCAAAATAAGAGAAAAGCATGCATAAAGACAAAATAATTTAACAGTAAATAGTAACATCAGTACTTGATTACAGCTTATCATGGATGTTTGGGTTTTCCTTTTTGTTTCTTTTCAACTATTAAAATGGTAAAATTCATAGTTGGTTTTTTTCCGTACCATGGACATTAGTAACTGCTCTCATTTGAAAGTGAACAAGCACTTGATTTTAAATATATATGTCCACCAATGGAATGAAAGTAACACAGTTTTGATGCATCACTGAGCACAATTACAGCACAGACATGCTTTTAGAATTGTTTAGACAACTCCAGTTTAATGCCACTTCTACCACACACAGTACATCACAAGAAAGCATTGGCATCTCGTGTTTGTATCAGGTTCTGATGCTACTGAACTAAAAAAAACATAAGGGATCTTAAATTTCTTGTACTTTATGAAGTTCACACAACCTTCCCTGACATCCTGTAGAAGCTAGTTTTGTGATTTTGGTCAGCTAGTTTTGTGCTATCAGCTCAGAACTATGTTAAGCCAGCTGATCCTTTGTTTTGAGAAGCCAGAGTACCTAACCAATCTTTTAGTAACAAATTTTATAGAAGAGATGGAAATTAGTACAACCTTTCATAAGAATGTGGAATATTAAGTCCAAAAATTATTACCCATCAAGGCTGTATTTTTCAACCTTTTAAACAGATTGTCTGAATCCACAATTTAAGTTTTAAAAATAATTTTTCTTTTTTTTTTAAAAAACAATTTTGTGAAGCAGTGTGTATATGGCCACTGTATATGCTGTAAATTCAAAGTGCTGCCTTTTCTCTGTCCTTAATCAGCCTTCAGTGAGAGTTCTACACATATAAAAGAACAAAAGCTATTGGGAAGAGTAGCATATTGCTAGGCACAAAGAATGGATAAAGGCCAAATTTTCCAGTAATCTTTTTGCAAATCTGAACAAAAACCAGTAAGAAAAATACAGAATTTAACTGAAAATTCACAGATTTTTTTTTGTTTGACAAGTCCATCACATTCTGTTACTGAACCTCCTGTATACTTAAAAATGGATTTCAGTGGTGGTGTCAGCTAAACATTACCTCCATAGCCATAATGAATTATATCACAGCTTTGCAATTTAGAAAGATCCATAAAACTTGAGAGACAGGACTTTAAGCTCACTAAGTTTCAATCTATTAATTAGCATTTTGTAGCAATGCCACTAAATACCAGAGTCCCACTATTGAGGAAAAGTCATATTGAGATTATTGAGAAAAGTCATAGCTTATTTCAGTTAAAAGACTTGGCCCCTGTCAAAAAAAAACGTTGGCAGTGTTAACTGAACAAATATCACCCATGCCTTTGCTACTATTTAATCTCACCAACATGAAGGAGGTGAATCCAGAAAATTGTAAAACTACTTTCATCACAACTAATAGAAAACAAGACTCAAAATGTACATGAAATTGTTGAATAGAACATGATAATATAAGAAGGACCACAACAAATGATGATCTATGACAGGCACAAGTGTATCTTTTACCTTGTATCATCTTTAACTCTTCCCCAGTTGTAAGCTCCACTTCCACCCTTTTTGTCAGCTGCATTCATTCCTCTAGAGCGAAAGAAGGGTTCTGTGAGTTTAAAAGCTTGTTTTCATTAGGACCTCAAACTAAAACCAGCACTGACTCTTTGCTAACCCAACCTGGATAAAGAAGAAGGGATCAAAATACTCCGGAGACACTATTGCAGTGCTGGCTATTGCTTACTTGTACACCAAATAAGAAGCAGCACACAGAAAACTTACGTTTTAACACTCCCACTTTGTCTTTCAAACTCCCGTTTTCCTCTCTGGTCAAAGCCATCAAAACTTCTATTTATTCCACTACCTCTTCCTCTACCTCGCATTCCACCTCCTCCGCCACGACCTCTTACTGGCCTTTCACGGTCTAATCTTTCAGTTGATCTAAAAATAAGATTTCTAGTCAGATTTTTGTTCATATAAAACAGTTAAAGAAAAAAAAAGAATTGCATGATTGTATTTGTGCAGCTGTGAGAGACATCGGAGTACAAGAGCTACCACTCAATGTTTAGAGTGCATCTTTACACAGTACAGTTGTTCTATATCTATTAAAAATAGATATAAACTGAATACAGATAACACGAATAGAAAGTTCAGATGTTTACTGAAAACACTGAAAACATCTGAGAAGTTAAATAAAACGCTATAAAACTGTCGAATCTTCAACAGCTTTATCAGTCAATAGCCCACTGTCTAAACACAGACTTCCATGTAACTGCTAAAATTTTCAGGGAACTTGTTAAATACCAGCTATTGTGATAATAAGTAAGAAGAGTCATACTCTCAAGCATTAAAGGTTTAGGTGGGGTTTTACAGTACTTACAAAGAAAGCAAAATTGACATACATTCACTAGTAGTAAATAGTACGACAAAAGTTTATTTTCAGTTTGAACAGTAAAATTAATTCAAGTTGGAACCTGCACCACGTGTTCTGCAAAGCTTGAATGGTATGAGAGCTCAGAAATGAACATTTATGTTGCAGACTAGGGGTTAGGCTTTCAGGTCCTCACGTTCAGTTTTGCCTTATATTTGTAATATCTAACAGAATTGCTTCGAATCCATCTGCAAGGAAGCTGAAATTACATCTCTGGTGGGCAAGAACCAATCTTTCAACAAATCTACACATTATTAATGCAACCATACCTTCAAGTCACATCTGGCTACTAGATCTGTTTTAAGGTTAAACCTTTCCCTTCCCACCCCTGTGCAGACCCTCCACAAGGCACCTGACTTTTCCTTCTATGATACATACTGTCGTGGTTCAAGCCCAGCCGGCAACTTGGAACCACGCAGCCGCTCGCTCACTCCCCCCCTTTTCCTTCCTCCCCCCGCTCCCGGAGGGATGGGGAGGAGAATCGAAGGAATGTAACTCCCACAGGTTGAGATAACAGCTCTCCAGTAACTAAGGTATAATACAAACCACTACTGCTACCAATAATAATGATAAGGGAAATAACAAGGGGAGAGGACACAACCGCTCACCACCCGCCGACCGATACCCAGCCCGACCCGAGCAGCGATCTGGGCCTTCCGGGTAACTCCCCCCAGTTTCTATACTGGGCATGACGTGCTGTGGTATGGAATACCCCTTTGGCCAGTTTGGGTCAGGTGTCCTGCCTCTGCTTCCTCCTGGCTTCCCCTCCTCTCTGGCAGAGCATGAGACTGAGACAGTCCTTGGTCAGAGTAAACATTACTGAGCAACAACTAAAAACATCGGTGTTATCAGCATTGTTCCCAGACTGAAAGTCAAAAACACAGCACTGCACCAGCTACTAAGAAGGAGAAAAAATGACTGCTGGAGCTGAACCCAGGACACATACCTTTCCACTATGGATTCCACCTGTCTTTCTGTTTCATTGGAACGATATCTTCCGAAAGATGGTCTCTGCTCATTTTTGTCTTGTTTCACCTCTGCTCTTCTGTTACTGAACCCTTGCTGTTCTCCCCAGCAGGGTGCTCGTTTCTGGCCTACACAAACACACACACATACAGATTACTAACAGTTTAGTGATAAGTGAATCGCAGTTATCGAACTACTGACTGAAATAAGTTGATTACACCTTACAGTCTCCTGCAATTCCACCAAAAACAAAAAGCACTTAATGTTGCCAGACACTGCCTATTTTAAAGACATCCGATTACTTTCCCTTCTGTATTGATTAATCTGCCTCAGGAAAAAAATACTATGGATATTGACAACAGCCCACACATTTCCAGAAAAGACAGGCTAGAGAAAAATCTCGTTTTGCTCACAGAAACAGAGAACAAAAACTGTTTCTCTCATGTTCTCTCACAGATCTTGCTAGTGTACAACACAAGGCAGAGAAGCTTCAATGGAAGACACGAATTGCAAAACTGCTGCAGGAGCAATGAAGGTGGGGGAAAGGACTGTTAGAGGCAGACGTTAGTTGTCTGTCATGAGACAACGCACCTCTTGACAAATGAGCTGAATTCAGAAGTCTGAGCCTGCACCTCTTCTTTAAGCTCACTATTAAAGTATCCAACAACCAGAAGAGGGTCACCTCCTCCTAGTACTGTTCTGTGGAATACAGGACCATTCACCTACACTTGAAGTCACTGGGTTTAAGTGGCAGAAACCCATGCATTAAGTACAAAGGCTCCAACACCACTAATTGATTCTAAAATATCAATATATTCCAAGATAAAACATATTTAAGCTTTTTGTGTTTTTTTTTTAGCAAATGTCTGGATTACGAGGAATAGGTTGGGCAGGTGAATGCACAGAAATTGTGTATTATGAGAGAATAAATTGAGGTTATCCACTCAACCCATACACATATATAGCATAAGATTGAAGTTCATTACGTGCTTCCTTCCCATTTTCCCAAATTCTGTGCTTTATTTATGACAGAGTTATCCAGAAGTAAGCAAGCCTTTTGTCTGCTATGCCCCTATACTTACAGTATTTGCTAGGAAGTTGCTAGTTTAAGTCAGTGAAGCAAGGAACTACAGAAACACTGCTCTCACACCAACAAAACCAAGCTATTCTTTCCACAGGAAGCAGTTGTGCAATGCTGAGCAAGTTACTGAACTCAGGTTAGTGGGCAAGTCACAGTCCTGGCTACTGTGCCTCTGCTGCTAGCACATAAAAAAAGAAAAAAATCTATTTTATCCCACAATATTAAGATATAAGTTAATTCATAGCTCCATAGAAATGGCCTATAAGATCACTGACGAAAGCTTTGGTGGCAAGCATGAAGGCTGTAACATCACCTTTAAAAACGAAACTTGAAAGAATTATCCACTCAGCAAGTAAGGTAGAAGAATAGTCAATAAATATTTTTGTTATGCAGTGAGGACAGTTGTATCTGTACAGAGAAGATAGTTTTGTCTATACTGCAGAAGCAAAACAAGCTTTGTTTTTCTTTAAAGTACACACCACTTGACTTAAGATATTCCATTAATTCTCCTCAAGGTTTGAAGTTGCTCAGTCCTTACAGCCGCAAGCATACTTGAATCCCAAAAAATTACAATGTATTCTCTGGATAAACAGCAACTATTGAAATCAGTTTCTGAGTAAGCCTTTCAAACCAGGACACTTCAATAAATAGCAAAATTTTAAAGAACACAGAATTGTACATGCTGTTGGGAAACATGTCTGCTCTACGCAGATCTCAACTACACCACTAGCTATGCAAACGGTAATTCCAAACCAGAATCTTGCTGTGGAAAAAGTGACTAGTTTCTGACCTAATGTTTACTTATTTTGTTTGGATCTGAATGCACAACTGCAATACAGAGTACATTTTCATTTATTTGAGTTTCTCACTGGCTATCAGAAACATTGATTATTCCAAACAGATTAACTTGGCAAGAATGAACTAGTCAGAGAGAGCACCTTCCCTAAGTACTTACTATTAACCTCAATTACACCTCCAGATTCGAAGAGCTCCTTAGAACAAGCAAAGTAATACCAAAACATCTAGGTACGAAAGTAATTTCAAAAAGATGATCTCCAATTTTGTTATCCAGTACCACTCAGAAGTAGTTCAAAACAAGTCTTCTTGACAGATATGCCAGTGTATTACATGTCACTAGCACTGATCATGCTAGACACAATAGTCAGTTCTCCTTTGACTTCAGTGCAAGGCTATTTCACTTTTTTCTAGCTGGTGGCTATAATTACTACAGATGTATTTTAAATACTAGAAAGGTTGTTTGTGGCACTTATTACCTGTATAAATGCATTTTTTAACTCGTTTGACAGACATGCAGCAGTGGATTAAAGCAGTATGCAGCAACTACACTTCTCTAATAAGCCGAGTCACCCTCAGGACAGAAGCTTGTGTATCAGTTCAAACACCAGCACAACTTTCAGGTCAGCATATAAGGGCAAACTAAACTGGAGTTTGGCAGCAGTGACAGCATAACCTATTGGGATTTTAATCTTCTGCCATATGTTTGTCCCAGTGCAGGCTTGTTTTTATTTAAGGAGCTTAAGGGCCATCTACACTTTGTGAGCAGGGGACAAAAAGATAAAAAAAACCCCAAGAATAAAAACACAACCAAGAAAACAACCACCGCCAAAACAAAATCTTGTGTAGCACTGCCATAACACCTTTTACTTAAAAAGAACTGGGCTATGCTTTGAATTCTCATCAACTATCTCTTCCAAGCACACCCTGATTTTGTCTCCTTGTTGGCATATATAGACTGGTATGCAGGTTTTCTTCAAACAAGGAAAAAACCCAAACAACAACCCTCTGCAGTGTTGTGGATCGTCTGCTTGAGGTCCTACAAAGATCATGCTGAAAACTGAAGATCACTCTTTCCTAGTTACCACGTTTAGCCTCTCTAAGGTGGTTTTCCTGTGTCTCACACTTACATCTGTAGTCTGTATTCAGCAGACGATGTTGACCACCATACTCCCCTTCAACACTGCTTCCCTGGGAGGTTACTGAAGCAGCCCAGACTGTCAACTGAGTTGCATGTCACTTCATAAACTGAGGAATTAGAAATCTGATGCTTAAACTGTTCCCACAGACCCAGCTTCCTCCAACTCTGAAGAACCATCTGAACTATTATTATAAAGACATCCAGTTTTAGGAGCCATTGTTAAAAGTCTAAATCATATAGGGCTAATGTACTTTAGTTTTCACCTTCCTTGCAACAGTACTTCACTATCAGTACTAGTTTTGTTTATACTGCCACATTTCAATAGGAAAACTTTCTAGAGGGGTGTTTTTAATAAACATGTATCACAGAACTCAAACTGGGAAATGGAAACTGTACTTTTAAGACCTGCACTGCCTTGTTTCTCAGGCAGTGGCTATGTATTAACACATGGATTCAAAACAACACAGTGAAATCTGTCCTTGCACTGTTGTCGTCTACCTCTCACCAAGTTTCTCTATCCATATAATCTGTCCTTCAACAAGGAAGACTTGCTTGGGAAGAGACAGTTTTTTAGACTTTGTGGACTCATGCTTTTTTTTTCATCTTAAAAAAAAATAAAAAGAAAAGAAAAGAAAAAGAAGGTTGTGTGCAGCAAACCTTGACTTTGGACAAACACCAAAGATTCAAGCTTGCAACTATGTAAGGAGCACAGCAGGTAACGGTGCAGGTAGCATGTAATCCACAGGTTGAGAGAAATTACCTCTGCAAAGAACACCAAAACCTTGCATTCTGACCTAAAATCCAGCTGACAGTGCTGCATCTTTGTGCTTTATGAATCTTCGCAAGCCTCAGACCAACTCATCCCACAAAAACAGGTGACACTCAAACCCAGTAAGACAATTCCACCAATACTCCATTTCCACAAATGCAGCCTGGGACAAAGTGCCTAACAAGGGCTTATTTCTATTTTGCCCAACTAGCACACACAGGAACAGAGCAAAGGCAAACAGAGTGGCGTTTTGATTCAGTTAGGATGAACAGCAGACCAATGAAAACAGTCAGATAAAAGACCTGATATATCTTATAGCATGTATTTGAAAAAAGAAAAGAGCAATGATAAAATACTTTCCACATGGTAAGCTACCCTCAGAGGTTTTCTGAATCAAAGACTATAAGCACTGATTTATGGAGGACAGATCCACAGATGGGCTGACATGTCTGTACCCAGACTGCTGTCATCAGAATAGGTACATGCTTCGATATATCACCATCATCCTACAGCAAGAAAGACCACAGGTCAATAATAGTCTCTGTAGAAAAAGCATTCTTTCTCCTTATTTCTCAAAATCTGACTTAAAATATGTCCCTTTATTTCTGCAAAATAAGAATCAATATTCTTCGCCTTCTCAAAGTCCCACCTGCAGGTCTATGTATATTCCTTTTGCATCCTCAGATACCTCTTCTCAAAACAAAGCCCTTGATTTAAATTTCTCCCAATGCAGAAATAATTCTGTAAGTTTGGTTCATCACTCTAGCGTTCTTTCTCTAGCTTTAGCATGTTTGAGGTGACCAAAGGAGCAGACATACTTACAACATGTGAGAGAGTAAGATTCCTTCAAAGGCGTAACAATTCCTTTTCTGTTTTCCCTGCTACTGCTACCTCAGTAATTCCCAACATTTGCTTCTCTCCTACATGGCAACTGACAATAGACCTGCTGTCCTACTCTTTAATGGTCCAAATGACTCCAAGCTCTTGTTCCTAAACTAAAATAGTCTGAATTAGATAAATCTTCGCATGGTAGTATAGTTTGCAATGCTGCCCCTCACCTCAATCCATGTTCTCCCATACATACTACTTTACATTTACTGATAGTGAATTTCCTCTGTCATTTTATAACTCCTTTAGAATATGAAACTTGTGTCATTGCCCTGTAACTCTTCTTCTACTGTGCTATATAATCTTGTACCAGCAAACTTTGGTTATTTATTGGTTCCGTATTCTCTCATAGATCTTTCAGCACAGTCTTCCCACCCATCTACATACACACAAGAAAATTATTTAAACTGTGCTGAAGTTCTTTCATTTCAGACAAGTTTCAACTGCTTTGTAGATGTTAAAACAAAGCTAGTAACAGCACAATCACTGGTCCTAAACTCAAATCTCTCCATCATCTTATTCCAAGACACCCTTCTTTCCTCTGCTTTCCGCGTAACTTTTAAATTAAAAAATCTGAGCCTCAAGAAACAATTTAATAGGAGTTCAGAGGAGAAGAAGAAAGTACAAAAATGAAACAGGAGTACTGCTCCAGTTTGTCTGGAATGAGGGCAAGTGGAGAAATAATTCAAGGATCTCTGTCATTAATTATGGCTGCATGCAAAGGCACTGCTTCATTATCATCTCTGTAACACAATGATACCCATATACGTACAGCTCACCTTCCTTTACAGTAAAGCTGCATAACTGGAAATAGTAAAAAACAATTCACACTCTCAGGGACATATTTTGCTATACTTGAGAGTGCAGCAGATGTAAGACTGCACAATCTCACCTCCTCCCCTTTGCATGTGTGCGTTCATGTGATTTTGATTTCAAACTTCAAGCTATTAATTTAGTAAACTAAAGCATGGCTAATTGTATGATTTGCAGAATAATACCCCAGTATCTGAAAACACGCACAAAAAAAGGCTTCAGCTGTTGGCTATACCACACCAGGAAAAGAGACACATATAGTTAGACTCCATTCTGTGGTACATTTTGTTTTCATGTGTGCCAGTACTCAATTACAGAACTGCCTACTGCAGCTTTCCTCCAGGCAATCCTTATGACTGTGTAGCTGAAAGAATGCTACTGGAATAAGTTATTTAAAATATAAAAATTGCAGTCAGTATAAGATAAAATTCCCTAAAAACATTCCATGCCATATTAATTTTTAAAACAGTAGCTAAAACCTCAAACATACAGTACTCAGTACTGCATCTAAATGTTACACGAATCATCAAATTTACATGAAAGAAGAAAACCTTTTAGAGGTATTAGCAACAAAGGTTTAGAGATTTCAACAGAAAAGAGCTTATTACTGCCTGATCAACACATTTAATTTGCGTGGACCAGTAAAGAATGCAAACTCTGCAACTGAGCCTTTCGAACAAAGAGCTGGCAAATGCAGTTTGGCCACTGTGCTAAGAATGAATTGCGTTAACAGTAAGGGGTACAATTATAAGAGCTGTAGTATCTACAAACAGCCTTTACCCAAATCCTTACCATACAGTATAAAAATCACTGAACACCACAGTCAGTAAATGAGAAATACACCATTAAGGTGAAAAGTATAGCTTTTGATAGGCTATGAAATAAGAGCCTATTTTCTCCTTAAAGACAGATTAAAAAATAGTCTCCTTGCAGTTGTGTCAATTCATAGTAAATAATTTGGATTCTACAGGTCAAAGTATTGGATTATCTGGGAAAGTACTCATAGGAGGTTTGTTTCAAACTGAAAACATCTCTAGAAAATAAATAAAAACTCCCCCGGAAAAGGCAGTGAAGAAGTAACTTAAAAAAAAAAAGTCAACTCAGAACTTTGTAAGTAAACCTTCCACTCAAACATCAAAACTTAACACTGAAAGAAGCCTCTCAGACTACTGTAAAACCTTCTCTCTATTGCAAGATCAAAGACTAGGCTTGCTTCAAGTCTCTTTAAAGGTAAAGACTATTTTGTTCAGATTTAATATGCTCAAGAAATAATACAATAATAGAACAAAAATTGTAAAACTTCTAACAAGACTTTTTGTAACCCAAAAAACCAAAACACCCAGTAATGAGAAAAAACAGTTTGGAGGCGCTCCAATGGAGGGCCATGAAGATGATCAAAAGGCTGGAAAGGCTGCCCTATGTGGAAAGGTGGAAGGAGCTAGGTCTCTTCTCCCTAGAGAAGGCTCAGTGGGGGACACATCACAGTATTCCAGTACGTGAAGAGCAGCTACAGAGAGCAAAGAGGATGAAGGCTTCTCTCTTCACAAAAAGCCACATGGAGGAGACAAGGGGCAACAGGTACATGGTGCATGAGGAGAGTTTTTATCTTAGTTATC